ATCAGATCTCATTCAAAATCATGCAAGAAAGGTAACAGAGTATGCAGATTTGGATTTCGAAAGCCACCTATTAGAAAAACGAGGATAACTTACCCGATGCCAGAAGAACAAGGAGATTGTGCAATGAAACCACAAGCAGCCAAAAACAAACTCAAACCAGTCTGGGATTTGCTTAATAACCCGAAAGTGCAGTTTGAAGACTTGTCACAGCTACTGGCACAGTGTGATATGACTTTGAATCAGTACAACTCGTACATTGAGGCATTGACCTCCTCAAGTGTGATTGTAATGAACCGTGATGTCAAGGACTGCTGGGTGAACAACTACAATCCACATTTGCTGATGGCCTGGAACGCCAACATGGACATCCAGTACATTCTTGATGAGTATGGTTGCATCATGTACATGTTGTCCTACATATCCAAGCCAGAACGCGAGCTGAGTGACTATCTCAAAACAATAGTCAAAGAAGTGAGCCCAGAAACAGAGACAGAACAAGAAGAAATTAAAGGAGTTCTTCAAGCTTATTCAAAACACAGAGAGGTCAGCGCCCAGGAGTCTGTGGCCCGTACGTGCAGCCTGAAAATGAAGTCTTGCTCACGTGAGGTTGTTTTTCTGCCAACTGGTGACAACGCACTGAAAATGAGTCTCCCGCTCAGTGCGTTGCAGAACAAATCAGCTGATTCTCTTAATGTGTGGATGACGAGTTTTGTCGACAAATACAGAGCCAGACCCGAACCTCCAGAGTTTGAGTCCATGTGTCTGGCAGACTTTGCATCCCATTACAGGGTTGTCTATGGCAAGCAGAAGGAAGATGGCAAGCAAAAGGAAGATGGCAAGCAAAAGGAAGATGGCAAGCAAAAGGAAGACGGCAAGCATGTCAGCCTTTTGAATGAAATGGGAATGATTCAAAAACGCACAAGAGGGAAGCCTGCAATCATCAGGTACACATGCTTCTCAGAGAAGAAGGACCCCGAGAACTACTACGGCAGACTGCTTAAACTCTACCTCCCCCACTGTTCAGAGTCATCACTGAAAACTGTAAGGTTCCCAACACACCAGGAGTTTTACAAAGGCGCCTGTGTGAGCTTACCAGGAGAAGAAGCAATCCGAGCAGTGTCTGCAATTGTTACCAGCAACCAAAAGAAGTTCGAACAATACAACAAAATTGTGGAACAAGTCTTGGATGACTTTGTAAAAAACAGCCCTGTTGAAGATGCTGGGAACACCTTTGCTCAAGAAGTTGAGTTAGATTGGTTGGAATGTATAGAGGAAAGCAAAGAAGGGGAGCCACTTCATGAGAATGAACAAGATGATGTTCTGGAGTATACACGTTACAAACAAACAGGTGGAATTGTGCTTACTGTGAAGGCCCCACAAATGTGCCCTGTTTTCCTTTGGAAAACTGTACAGAGACCTTAACCGGACACAAGCTCAGACATTCTACTCAGTTTGTGACTGGTGCACTAACCATGTGCGTGGCCTAAATCCTGACCCATTTTATTACTTTGTCACTGGTGGAGCAGGGACAGGCAAATCACACCTGATAAAGTGCATCTATACTGAGGCGACAAAGATACTCTGTAAACATACCAGACTACGTGAGGAAGCAGACATATCCATGCTCAGCGTTTTACTAACTGCATTTACAGGAACAAAAGCTTTCAACATTTCAGGCAACACTTTGCATTCTCTGCTGAAGTTGCCAAGAAGCTTTAAGCCACCCTACCAAGGACTTGGAAATCTCATAGATGAAGTGAGGGCACAGCTGTCAAATGCAGAGATCATTGTTATTGACAAGGTGTCAATGATTTCAAAGCCCCTGTTTGCCTATATCGACTGGAGATTACAGCAAATCAAAGGCAGTAAGAAACCTTTTGGTGGTTTGTCAGTACTAGCAGTAGGAGACTTTTGCCAGGTCCCCCCGCTGGGAAAAAGTAAGCCACTCTGCGTGTTTGAGGAAAATACCAATGACGTCTGGAAAGACTACTTTCAGATGATCATGCTGACAGATCATGCGACAGAAGGATGACATTTAATTTGCTGAGCTTTTGAATAGAATCAGAGTCAAGCAGAAGACTGGCACTTTAAGCAATGATGACAAAGCTCTGCTTTCTCAGGCTTTGACAGATCCCACCCACTGCCTTAATGACGTGCTGCACATCTTTGCCACCAACAAAGAGGTTCACAAATATAATGCCGTAACTGTGTCTATTCTCCATTCAAATGTTACCAACATAGATGCCGACAATTACAGAAAAGACCCTAAAACAGGAGTGATGCAGAGGCAACACCAACCTTTCAAAGGACACAAAGATAATCTGATTGACACACTGCAAGCAGCTGAAGGTGCCCGTATCATGATCACAAGAAACATTGATGTTGAAGACGAGCTTGTTAACGGGACATTTGGCAAGATTGCAAGAAAAATCATCCAGACTGAGAATGGTGCTACTACGGTAAACAAGCTTCAAGCTTGGGCTTGTGCTGGACAATCCAAATGCAGGACAGAGATACCGTAACAAGTCATCTTTTGATGCTGACAACTTGGTGTACATAGAAAGGGTAGAGGAAAACCTGAGACAGAAAGGAGTTGTTTGCAGGCAGTTCCCCCTGAAGTTGGCTTTTGCATGTATGATTCATAAGTGTCAGGGGATGTCGATACAGTCGGCAGTGGTCTCATTGAAACGGGTCTTCCAACCGGGAATGGCCTATGTTGCTTTGAGTAGAACGACTACACTGCAAGGACTGCACATAACCGACTTTGATGATCCTGAAATCACAGCCTCCCTGGACTCAATGAAGAATGCATCACTGGAAAGTGTTATGCCCCTCTTAAAGTTTTTACAGACAACAGACAAACAGCAAACATTAACAATTATCCATCACAACACGGAAGGATTACCAGCTCACATTGAAGATATCAAATCTCACAACGAGTTGACACTTGGAGATGTTTTATGTTTCACTGAAACCCATCTCTCAGGCTCTTCTGTTGCTGAAAGTCTCCAGCTGGAGGGCTACAACCTGTTCAAATGCAACAGACACCTATTGTACATGAACCGTCCTGACATTGCAAGTAAAGGTGGCGGAGGTGGCGCCTTGTGTGTCAGAAAACATTTCAAGGCCTTTGAAAAGCAGTATCATCACAATGTGACTGACTTAGAGTTCTTGGTTGTCAAACTGGAGTCCCCTGTACAAGCTTTGATCGCCGTTGTTTACAGGCCACCTGATTACAGTATTGGTCAATTCCTTACTAACCTGCTGGGCCTCTTGGAATCTTTGGAAAGAATGGATTGCCAACCTATAATACTCTGTGGAGATTTCAATAAAGATTTTCTGTGCAGAGCAAAGAAGCCAATATCTGACCTTCTTCACTCAAGAGGATATACCCAACTGGTCTGGGCAGCCACCACAGAAAAAAACACACTGTTGGATCACATTTACATCTCCAGGGTGCAGCACTGTCTCCAGTCAGGAGTACTGCACAGTTATTACAGCTATCATGATCCCGTGTATTGTGTTTTGGGCAGTGGTTGTGAACATGCTTAGAGCCTGCATAAACAGGGCATGAGCGTTGCCAGGAAACAGTGGTTGTAAACACGGATTATCATCAAACAGATAGCACACCTTCACCTCCATTCTACGTCAAGATGCTGAGACGCCGCAAATGCATGTGGTCATATCTTCATCTGCTAGGCTTGATAATGCTGCTAATGTTTTTAGAAATGTATGTTTTAATGTAACTGTGAAGCACTTTGGGCAAAAACGTTGCAATTAAATGTGCTATATAAATAAATAAAAGTTGAAATGCATTTCTCACTCTATCAAGCTTGCCATGTGCACTTTTTAAATTTGATCAATCAATTGGTTAGTGTAATGTTTACTATCTTTACTCACTCCAAACACTCCACACAGTTACTCTGCCCAGTTCAACCTTTCCACAGTTACTCCAGCCACTCCAACCACACAACAGTTACTCAAGCCACTCCACCCAGTTACTCCGCCCATTCCAGTTGTAGACTACTGGTGGAGGCAAGAACACTTCACACAATTTCCCCAGAAATTGTAGTTTATCCAGTTTGAGAATATTATTTTTATTATCTGCTGTGTTTGTGCCACAAAAGGATCATTGTACAGACAAGTGCCTTACTTACTTAAAGAATTTTCTTTCTGGTCTCACATGCTATTTTGTTCACAAATCGGCAACATGATCCATATTTGTTCATTCTCTTATTAAATGTTAACAGAAACATGAGTCATTTTTCTCAAATAAAACAAAAATAGACTTATGTATAACAGAGTAACACTACTACGTAAAATGTTGTGTGTCTATTAAGAACTTTCATAGTCTTCATATACTGAATTCATTATTTTGTATTCTACATTTAGTTTATTGTGGTGTGTTTGACAGTTTTTTACAGTTTTATGTATATTGTTCTAATTGGACAGAGAGAAACCATTTAACTCACCCTTGGCTATTGTTTATTGTTTTTTGTCAAGCAGTGGATTTTTGTGTGCAATTGAAGCCTTTGGATTCTATTCTCAAGAGACCCATATTCGTTGTGTATTTTTATCTTTTGGAGATAGAAATACCAGCCTTGGATTGTTAACACACAGGAATGCCCCCTTTTTACTGGGCATGTACCTCCTTGTATATAAATTAAAAATCTGTTTGAATTGATTAGTCTCTAGATATCAACAAGGACATCTCAACTATATCCCTGAAAACAGTTCTGTTGGAAAATGTACACATCTATATAGAGTACCTCGCCGAGGACATAATGTTCTTTCCTATGCTGTCACTCAAAGTTTTAGTGTCGCATAAACTAATAATGATACAACATGTCATTAAATAGGACGGCTCTCTGTTTTTCAAAAATCATTAACACAAAAAAATTGTGTGGGTTTATCCATTAATCACATAGAGAAGAACCATTACGTAAAATACATTTGTTCACATGCTTATTTGCTCTATAGAAAAGCATGGCCCTAGGCCATAGCTTAAGTTGCTTTCTGGCATCATCACTTAAATGTACGTAGCACACATATTTCATTTGACCTTCATACTCCTACTCTTCAGTTCTTTGTGTAAATGTATTCCCACGGGAAAGGTTAGATTGGTATATCAAGCTCGAGATATGGGTGGAATACAAAATTGCCTATTCTTATCATCAATTTAGCTGGGAACAATCCCAAGAACCCATTGTGGATTCAACAGAAAGCACTTGCTGAAACATTG